TTCCCAGAAAAAAAGATTGGCAATAACATTGCAAACCAGTACAAACTGGTTTTCAGCATTGACCATCTACTCTATGCCACCTACTTTGGCATTACCAAGCCACTGCATGTGAAATCTTAAGGAAAACTGTACATGCTGATTAAATGTTATCTTGCTGATGTCACAAAGATGGGAATGACCAAAAGATCACAAAAGGTTTCTGAGAACTGGGGTTCCCTAGCCTGGATTCCACACACATTCATATATTTGCCCCCTCAACTGGGGCGGGGGGAGGGGACAGCGACAGGTGTTCCTATAGCGTGTGGATCCAAGTGCTTGTGTACAGCAGTGAGAGATTTATGGACATTTATGCAGGGGTGACTGGAAGAAGCCATGAAACAGCTATAGTATAGAACGTTATCTCTTGCAGACGGTCTGAGGTGGGGGAGGGGGTGTTCTACACTGCAGTAGTCCTGCAGCTACTTGGATGGTTGGCTCCAGAAGGTAGTGTTTGGGAAATATTGCTGGGCTGCAGGGATCCTGCAATTTCAGCTTCCTTGCAGGTTGGTCTTGTCCAGAATGCTATTCAACATCTATGTGAAACTAGTGGATGGGTTCATCTGGAGTTTTGGATTCTTTTGCCATCAGTATGCTGATGACACACAGCTCTATAGAGAAACAGCAGGTGAGGCTCTGGATGTGCTATATCAGTGGGAACTAACACACTGAAGCTCAATCCAGACAAGACTGGGATTTTGTTGAAAACGTCTGACTGGATGGAAGGTGCTCAAACTGATCTGGATGGGGTTGCACTGCCTCTGAAGGAGCAGGTTTGCAGCTTGGGTGTTCTACTTGATCCATCTCTGTCGCTTGAGGCTCAGGTGGCCTCAGTGCCATGGAGTGCCATCTACCAGCTTTGGCTGGTGGCCATCTGGACAGGGATAGCCTGGTTTCAGTAGTCTATGCTCTGATAATCTCTACATGAGATTACTGCAGTGTGCTCCACATGGGGCTGTCCTTGAAGATGGTTCAGAAGCTACAGCTTGTGCAAAATATGGCAGCCAGACTAATAACTGGACCAGTTGGTCTGAACACGTAACACCAGTTCTGGCCTGCTTGTAGTGGCTGACTATATGCTCCCAAGCACAATTAAAGGAGCCAGTCCTGATGTACAAAACCCTACATGGCTTGAGAGTACAAAGGTGCCTCTTCCAACAACATTCTACCTTGGCACTACACTCAATATCCAAGGTCTTCCTCCAAATGGGAAACTCAGCTGGCAGTGACGAGAAGGAAGGCTTTCTCTGTGGAATGGCATGTTCTCCCTGCTGAGGCCCACCTGACACCAACATTTACATGCCAAGGCATTTAGCAATTCCAAATAGCACACGGGGGGGGGGGGGGTATTTGTGAGCTATTTTTAGCCAGTCTAGCTGCATGAACCTTGCTTAGTTGTTTAAATTATTAAAATTTCTAATGAAATGTTATGGTTGTTTTACTGTTATTTATATTCTATATTGGTGCTTATTTTATTTTACCAACTCTTGTACACTGCTGAACAAGCTTTGGCTATTGAGTGGTACAGAAATAAAAGTAATAATAATAATTGCAGGTGGCATGTTCCTCGCCACCTAGCCTCATCAGTGTCTGTGCTTCCCCTCGGCCTCGGAGGCTAGGATTTTGTCCTTCAGCCCCAGTTAATGAAACCCTATTGTACTTTAAGAGCAGGCAGGCAAAAGAACTACCAGAACTGATCAAGACTTCCAGTGGACAGTGCATTTGGCTCCTTAAAGGCATGGTGGCAACACCTGTACCTTTTTCTAGATGTCAAGGAAGACCACATTCCTGATGTGATGGTGGCTTGCTGCATCCTGCACAACAGCTGCGAGTCAGGCAGGGATGTGAGCTTCAGGACCATACAGCACTACCTGGTCCCAGGGCAGACAATGAAGTCATCGCCATTGCCACCAGTCTTGATGACACCTCTGCCCCAGCATCCGCCAGCCCAATGGCTGAGGGAGCACCTCATGCGGAAGCAGGACACATTGATGCAGCAGTTGCACAAGGGATGTGGAACCACTCACTGTCCATGTATAAGAGACTGCAGACCAAAAATTCCCCCTTTCTGGAGTGGCAGCGGGGGGGGGGGCGGGAAAGCTTTTGCTAAGCTGTATACAGGGACAGGGACAGTCTCTTCCTCTCAGCAGTTCAGACAAGCTTATTCAAGTTTAGGAGCGATTGGAGGAACAGGATAATGCATCTGTTACCTGGCTTCTTAGGTGTGTGAAGATATCCCTGTATTAAACAACTCAAGTTCAAGATTTCCTTGAAATAGAAATCCCCAGGTCATTTAAATGTCTGAAATTGAAATTTCATTGTAGTTGAATTTATTTCCAAATATTTATATTCAATACTGTGAAACTACTTTCCAACAAATGGGCATCTTATTTTGCCACAATGTGACTTGCCACCACCTCAGAACAAATGTGGAAACATGGAAAATAACTAAATACGTTTAGAACAAAGTTCTATCAAAGGTAATGGAACAAAGCAGTACGATTAGTATTACATATTACCTTCCGCAATTGAGTGAGTAAATGTGCTAGTGTGCTTATTTCTCTCTATTTTGGCATCCCTGTGGTTCTGAATTAAACAAATATAAATAAATAACACATCAATAAATCATGTATAAAAAATAATAGGGGATGACAGTTTTGGAAAGCTTAACATATCTTGCACAAAGCCTTTTCTACAAACCAGTTAACTGAAATATCTGGCTCTTTATTTTAAACCCACAGAGTTGCCAACTAGTCAGACACAATTATCTTTATGAATGTATCTGCATTAGAAAATGTGTGCAGCTGGTTGTTCTGTTGTTCCATGCCATGGTTAATCTCATACTTGCCCATGTTAATGTTTAAAACATGGACAGTTTATTTTAGATGTAATATCACAATTTTGTACTCACCTGTTCAATGAGTTAGCCACATTTTAAATGTTTTTGTGTCTTTACTGAAACAATGAATGTGCCATTAAATTTAAATGGAAATACAAGTCTAGGTTCAGCTCCTCTGTTGTCAGAGGACTATGAGGGATGTCAAACACAGTTCAAGAAGGACTCTTCAAATTATTGCACATCTCTCACTGCTGCAGAGCAGCCACTATGCCATTCTGAGATTACGATTCAAGATGCACTTTAGAGGCAGAGATGTGGGAGTTACAAGGAAATCCACAGAGCAGCTGATGCAAACTATTAGTACCATCTGATGTTTACTCTGAAGTAAGTCCCTTATTCTACAGGTAGGTTCTGTTGCAATTATCAAGACCCCCCGTAAAACCCCTTTCATTACAACTGGTGCAAGCCAGAAAGGAATGTTCATACTTTGCAGGATAGACAATATTTTAACGTGTGAGATCTGATCTGATTAGATTACATTGCATTCAGTGTTAAGGGCGTTTGTCTAATGTGCAATGCAGGATCATGGTGCAGTGGTTGGCTTCCCAGCAGAGACTGGGAGAATGTTGGCAGGAAGGCATCCAGTTTCTCTCTATTCTATGGAGAAGCCTGGCCATGGAGGAAACCATCATCTCTGTCAGTGACTGCATGCCAGGTGGCTCTGTGCCCAGGCTTGGCTTCAGGTCACTTACCTACTGGAAAGTATGAGGTTTTCCCAACCAGATTTACCTACAAGCAAAACCAGCGACACAAAGGTAAGCATCTTCTTGGAAAGCAGCCTCAAGAGCCACTCCTCTGCCCTGCCCTAGACAGAGGAAAGATGGGAAATAGAATTACTCAGTATGTCAGAAAACTTGGCTTTCAGTGGATTGTCCCACCGGCAGGTCAGATGTTTTCGATGCCTCCAGTATTACCTTGGCTCAGGCTGAGTGGTTTGGAGCTGAGATTTGTATTCATCTCGTCTCACTCCAATGGAGGGCCTTCAGCTGACCCGTGCTCTGCTGGACTCAAAGTTTCCAAACCTAAAATTTATTCCAAGTCCTCCTGTGTTGTTTTTTGGGCCATGCTCTATTTCTCCTGATCGAGGCAGCTGGCCTCCATGCCCCAAAGCGATCAACCCGCTACGGGGAGCCTGACTACCAGTTGCTGGAAAGACTCTCAAAAACTGGGGCAGAGAAGCCTTTTAGCACCAGGGCGCACTGGGACCGTGGGGCATTCCTTCTGCAACTCTCACCCCCCCCCATCTTCATACGCACGTGTGAAATGCCATGCAGGTAGAAAACCCTGGGGCAGAAAGGCGTGGGGCTAAAAGACCGAAGCAAGTTCCTACCTTCCAGATCGGTTGGCCAGCCATGCCTTCCTGAAGAATGCGGCTCGAATTCTAAGTCATGGGGTGGTGGTGCTAGCGAGGAGACCAGAATATGTCCAAATAAGGAATTTAGAGGAGGAGCTCAGAGGGATGCGAATTTCTTGTTATCAGCATCTTTCCACGACGAGGGTGCGATTGGTTGCTTTGCCTGTCCCCTCACTCCGGGCTGACCAATGGCAGGCCCAGCTTCTGGCCTTCCTTCTCTGCCCAAGAGCTGGGGCCAGATAGTCTCGCTTTCTGCATTTTGATTTGCTCCCCGATTGACCTAAATAAAAAAGCTTGCGAGTGACAGAGCGGCGGCGAGCCCTGGGGCGGCGCGCTGTCTGGCGGGGCACTCTCTCCCGTGCGCTCCTCTCCCTGCTCTTCTTTAAGTAATCCCATTTGCCGCTTTGCTCGCCCAATCGGAGAATTGCTCGTCGCTTGTATAGCGTTTGACTCCCCTGACATTTTTATTTTCTCCTGATCGTTTTCGCGCAGAATCTGGCGCCTCCGATGGGGGCTCCCTTCATGTTGCCCTTACAGGAAATGATGGCAGAAAGCGATCTGGAATGATTACTCCGCAAAAAATACCTTTTCTTACTCAGTGAGGCTGCGCTGGACTAAGGAGGAGGCGATTGCCTTGAAAGCTGGCCGGACGGCGGCGGCGGCGGCGGCGGCAGCGGCAGCAGCAGCTCAGACGCTCGCCTCCTTTCTATAATGCCGGACGAAGCCACAGAAAGCGCCCATTCCGCCTCTGCTCGGGTGTCCTCTTTTTTCATCGCGAATTTGTTGGGAGCCAAAGGCCAGGACGAGCAGAAGCTGGACAGCGCCGACGACGACCACAAAGAGGCAAGAGCACAGAGCGGGTTTGCCAGTAGCCATTGTTCAATTGCCTGCTGCCAGTGCCAGCTCTCCCACTTCGGCCTCGGTCTGCACCGCTATCCTTTCCGAGAAGGCACCGTGGACTGGTACAGAAGAGCGCACGTGGCTTTCCTCGGGTGCGCCAGTCCGGAAAGTAAGTCCTCGCCATCGAGGATCGCAACAGCTGTCGCCCGCTTTGCCACCCCGTAGCCCCATCTGCACGCCCTGCGCGCTCCGCAGCAATCTAGACAGCCAGCGCGTTGTTGTGTTTACCCCAAGACCAGAGGCGAAAGATTACTCCGTACCCCCCAGCCCCCTCCCCTGCAGCCAGGGTGAATCCCTGGTGCGGTGCTGGCTGCTTACGGGAGAGCGTTTCTGAACAGCAGAGACGGATGTTCTCCGGCTTCACGGCGAGTGGGAGGAGGGGGTGTTTTAGCTGCCGCCGGAACTCTCTCCCAAGAACCCCCCCGCAACTTCTAGATAGCGACGGGTGGCACCAGGCCATGCATTTGGGCCCATGCTGACCTTAGACTCTCCAGGTGGAAATATAACTATATGTGAATCTGCACAGCTGTCGCATGCCTAATTATCTGAGAAAGTCGTAGGCTAGGGGCAACTTGTATTCTTCCATCACCACATCACCATTTCTAGTGCAGAAAATTACAGTTAACCGTGCAGCTCGGCGGGCCTTTCCTACGCTTGAGTTTTCACCTCCATTTATATTTTCCGAGGAGACATCATTATGGTCTTCTGGGTTAAAGTAGTAATATTTATGTTTAAATGTTAGCTTTTGCAACCATATCTTGGTTCTGGAAACATGAAACTGCTTTCCTTTTCTGAAAATATGAAAGGGTTTTATAAACTGCCTAAAACTAAATGAAAATTCGAATATATGCATTCAGTAGGAACCTTTTAATCTTTCTTATGTTTCCAGTCCTGACTGAAGCTCAGTCCCAAACTAGTTAAGGTCACGGGCTTTGACTGGATGAGTATTTATAAATGTTTTACTTGGAAGCCTGTCCCCACAAAAGAAGGGACTTCCAAGCAAATCCTGTCAGTTTGGGTTGACGCATTCGCGCTGGGAGGAATCTACTTTAATCAAGATGTTTGGGTTTAAACGAATTGTGATTTGGCCCTTTCCTTACGTTGTTTTGCGTTTAAAGTGGGTTTGTTCTGATTCCTAAAGAACGATCCAGACTGTATCTCCAAATGTGTGTGTGGGGGTGGGGGGGGATTGGGAATCCTACAGGTAGAGTTTGACTTTTTAATGGTTGGTTAAATTTTTCTTTAATGTGTGTTTGACCTTGTGGCCCATTTTCTGAACTAATAACCCTCACCAAGGCAAAACACTTTCCCCGCTTCCTGAGGGTGAGTCCTGATTTTCAGACCATAGCACCTGACTGCTAAGCAGGCTTACTCTGAGTTAAAATATGTTGGTTTTAGTGGATACCTTCAGAAAAGTCTACCTGGGGTTATAGTCCAAGAAGGTGGCATCAACACGCCGTCCTTTAGTCTTACGGATTCCTTCCTGTTTAGAAAGCAATGGGGGCCTGTAAGACCGTGAGGAGGCGGAGGAGAATAAGAATAATGAAGCGACAGAAGGAGCGCCAACAATGGGCCTGATCATGCCCGTTTCTTGCGTCTAGGACGCCCGTCTCCTCTTAGCCCCCCAAATGATCATTCGCGTTCGAGCGCAAGCACAAATCCAGCGGGAAACGGCTGAAATACGGCGACCGAACAGGAGCCAGGGTGCGGGGCCAAGGCAGGGGCGGAGGCGTGCTAAGGGCAGAGCGCGGGGTCCTTCGCTCGCCAGCAACCTTCCCGCCTCTCTTTCTCGTCTCTTTCCCCCTCCCCCTTTCAGCCAGCGACAGGGACTCTCCGGAGATCGCCGAAGAGGGGAAGGCGCCGGCGGCGGCGGCGGGAGGAGATGAGCAGCCGGTGGCGGAGCTGAGCCCCGCCGCAAGGAGAGAGGAGCCGGGGCGCCGCGGCGCTGGCGGCGGCGGCGGCGGCGGCGGCAGCCCCGAGAAGGAGCGCGCGGAGGACTGCGAGGCGGGCGAGGCGCGGGCCGCCGGGCGCAAGAAGAAGACGCGCACGGTGTTCAGCCGCAGCCAGGTCTTCCAGCTGGAGTCCACCTTCGACGTGAAGCGCTACCTGAGCAGCTCCGAGCGGGCCGGCCTGGCCGCCTCGCTGCACCTCACCGAGACGCAGGTGAAGATCTGGTTCCAGAACCGCAGGAACAAATGGAAAAGGCAGCTGGCCGCGGACCTGGAAGCCGCCAACCTGCCGCCCGCGGCCCAGAGGATTGTCCGCGTGCCCATTTTGTACCACGAGAACTCGCTCGCGGGCGCGGGCGCGCTGGGGTGCTTCCCCCTGCCGCCGCCGCCGCCGCCGCCGCCGCCCCACGGCTCCCCGCCGCTGGGGGGGGCTCCCAGCGGCACCACGTACCCCCTGGCCACCTTCCCCGTGGCATCGGCTCCGTTCCTGAGGTCGCCGGTGACAGGACTCGTTTGAGCCCAAGGCGCCCTTGCCTGCCCGCCTGCTCACCGTTTTGCTCGCTGTTGCTCTCCGGCTTGATCTGATGCTTTGGATTGAATTCACGGTGCAATAAACATACGTTCGAGTTTAAAATTAAAGAGAGAGAGAAAAGTCATCAGACCCTATTACATGGACATCTTTAAGTGTATCGTATACCCAAAGCAAGCGTTCTTTCCAGGGATTCTGGAAAACTGCCAACCGTAATGTTGGCACTTGGAGACTTCCCTTATACTTCAATTATGAAAATCTGCCAATCTTCCAGTATTTCTTAACCAAGGGTATCTTGAGCAAGAAAAGAATGTAAAGGTTTTTACTTTTCTAGCCACAATGCCGGGGACACCATTCGCCTTCCCATCGGCAGTCTACAGCGCTTTCTCAGATCAAAATGATTAATGACAACACCCGACTCTCTCACAGTGTAATGCCTTGTCATATGATGAGGAGGATTTAGAGAACTGAATTATTAGAATTAAAGTAGGGTTTGCATTGTTGTTGTTGCTGTTGTTTTTCTTACCCATCCTCTGAACAGTTTCATTTCTAGGAAAGGTATAAGGAGGTCTACATTAAACTCAGTTGTCACTTCCTCCTAGAAATTAAACTGGAATTATTCCATAGTAAAGAGGTTTATTTTCCAGTTAAACATATTGAAATTTGGGCTGATTTAATACAAATGAGAGGAACTCTCCACAGGATTCTCTTGCTGTGATATTTTAGATTTAAAATTCCTACTTGAGTTTATTTTCTGTGGTATTATATGTCTCCTTAAAAGAAGCCAACAAATATAAAGCTTGCAATTATTCAATTAATGTTAATTTATGGTGCAAAATATTTTGAAACTCGAGGTGATTTTTGCATCCCACAGCCACTGTTTCAAAAGTGTTCTGTTAGAACATCCTATAATAGTCATATGCCCTAATTCTGTTAAATACTTGGTGAAGATCAGTCTTCCTATTAGCCAATTATTTTGATTTCCCTTAGTTATTGAATGAATGGCCATTTCCTGTATGAAGCAGGAATGCTCCATGACTTATCCAGTTCACAACGTTTTAGAGAAAAACTTCAGTTGATGTCTTTAGTGACTGTAATATGGTTATCAGAGGAAGTATTATGCATGCTTAAACTAGATTTCTTTAAATAACCCTTTTCTCTGGCTAAACATTTCTAAAAAGAATACCTTGTCAGAAAATTAATCCTAAAGCTCGTCAGTTTGTTGTAACAAAATCAGTAGAGAGAGGAAAGAAAAAAGACCTATCTAGTCACTTCTAGTGAAAGAGCAACCTTTGATCATATGTATTCATGTAGTATTAACGCAAATATACTTGAGCCTGTTAACTCTCAGCTATTCATCTACTAACTTTTAGATTTTTGTTGCTGGGACAGCCCTTTCTTCACATCTTAAAAACAGTTTACTATTTTTAATACCTAAGTTATTTTTGGAATGAAGTAACCATTTCTGGTTAGATGATGGAATAACCAGTAATAATGGTACAGGGATAAAACTTGCCCATACAGCCTGAAGGAAATATTGGTATACATACGGTTTCTCCAATTTGTTAATTGTTTGACTTTTAAATATTAATTATTGATTCTAGAATCAAAATTAATCTACATTGAGATATGACAGTTAACATGAACAATTAAATTTTATTTTTGTTGGCATTTCAGTTAGCATTTGGAGCACTGTATGTGAGAAGGTATAATTCACAATTTAAACCAGTTTTTTAATGCATAACCACAGTGCATTCTTATATGAAAATGCCCACTCACTGTGTTTAATTATTCTGAAACAGATAGAAATGTCTTATACTGTGGTGTTACACAGACTTACCTGGGAGTAAGGACATTGAAAATGTTGTAGGCTATGAGAAAACACAGGTAGTGCAATCTATTAAATATCATGCGATCTAAAATATTATTTATATGACAGGCAGCATATATCCTTATCTGACTTGTCTCCATCTTGTTAGAAATGGCCCTAAGTGGTTCTGTCATTGTACTTTCCAGTATTGTGAGCCTCTGATGGAGCACATTTATTATTGTTATAAGGCCATCAAAGGAGAAGAGATTACATAGAAATCTTATGCATTCTAGGATGTAAGTCCCACTGAACTAAGTGACATTTACTTCCCAGTACAATAGGCTGTAAATCCCAAGTCAATGTCTTTTGTTCCAGTGAGACTTGAGTGTGTCCACCTCCCCTCCATGAGTTTACACATATTCAAGAGAGTGCAGAAAACTAGCTTGTTTCAACCATAGCAATAGCAGATTTTCTAAAACGTTATGCTGGATAGATTATGTAAGAGTGAAACAGATGACACTTGGCTGCGTGAAAATCAATCCAAGAGGAATTCTTCTTTTTCCTCCATAGAAAATAGGATGGCTTGAGGGTTAATTCTTCTAAATGCCCATTTAAGAAATAAACCAGCAGCTCCAAATGAAAATGCAAGATTTTTTTAAAAAGAAATGTCTTCTTGCTTTTTAAAAGCTTTTTAATTATTTTAATAAACATCTGTGTATATATTCTAATCTTAAAATGTGTCATTTTGGCTTCTCCTTTTTGAAGGGTTTTCAAAAAGGAGTCAAAACTATAGTTATTACTCTAATGGCAAAATTCTGGAGAGGTTAACTGGGAAATAAGTCCCATTAAATTCAAATGCGTCTACTTGTGGCTAAAAAAGCAGAGGGCTGTGCTTCACACCTGCAATCCAGTGCAGGCAAATAAGGCCCATTGTCTCCGGGACTTACTTCTGAGTAACTATCCTGTATCTTCTGTTCCTGACTCTAAAAGCTTGATATTTCAATTTTGCCTTATGATGCTGAAGGCATTGAAATATCTCCTGCAACACTGAATTTCTCTGCATCCCAGCTTTTAAGAGAAAGGCTAAATGACAAATTACAAGTGTAATGGTGATTCTTTGAAAGTAAGGAGGAGGAGTACCTTATAAGTCTGTTTAAAAGCTAAGGCACAGAGTATAAAATTCAGTGGAAGCATTGCAAGATCTGTTTCCCAGCCCTCTGTGTACTGTCTCAGAAGAAAGACCAATTTAATCCAACCGAGATTATTCCCAAATATGTGTGCATAGGATTGCAGGCTAAATTTCTGAGGTAGTGAAATGAAGCACTCTGAATAGTCAGCCTTATATTACCATCAGCACTGCTGTTCAACATCACCACCACACCGATTGAACTTCCTGGTAAGGAAGTGTGGCAGGATCACAAAGTCTTCCCAGGACATCTTTACAGCTAAACTCAGGTCTTACGACTTAGGATTCACCGCATGTCTGTAAGAATATCCCTGCGTCCTAATGGTTCCTCAGCGGGTACGGCCGCATGAGGCACACAGGAGGCTTCAGAATTCCGTGCCCCCTCCTCTTCCTGCTGGATTTGGAACAGCTCCTCAGGATGCGTCCGGACTCCCCGGCATTCCTACCGGGCGCTGAGCTTGCGTGCAGCTCCCGAGATCCTCGCCCCAGCCTGGCCAGTCGCGCGGGAGCGGCGCAGGAGCTCGTTCCGTGCAACCTGCTCGGAGGGCTCGGCGGGGGGGGGGGGGCGCGGCAGAGAAGCGCCTCTGCAGTTGCGGCGCCGGGGGGCTGCTGTGCCAGGGAAGTGGCAGCGTGCTTGCTCTGTGACTGCTGGTCAGACACTGACTGCAGCCATTCCGGACGGAAGGCACACGTGAACGTTGCGAAGGGGCATGGCATCCGACGGTGCAGGCGGCGGCTCTCCTGCTCGCCCGTGAAGACCCTGAACGTCGGCCAAAGGAGCGTTTTCCTCGGGCGAAGAAGGGCTCCCCGACCCTGTGTCCGCGCCTGCTCATCATTCGGAGATGCACAGACGCACCGCCAAAGATTCCGGGCGCTGCTCGCTCGCTCGCTCCCTTGCGCCCCACGAGCAGCGCCAGGCCGGAGCCGCTCAGAGCTCGCGGCAGGGGGCAGCCGGGCAGTGCAGGCCTGTGCGTGCCTACTCAGAAGTAAGTCCGACTCACCTGAGTCAGGCTTATCCCCGGCGGCCGAAGGGCACGGCCGGGCTCAGCTGCAGGAGCAAAGGCTCTGCAAGAACCGCGAGCGTGAGCGCCCCGCGGCCCCCTCGGCTGGCGCGGTGTCCGGCGAGCGAAGCGCGCCCCCGCCCCGCCCCGCCCGTCAGGCCGAGTGGCGCGGACGAAGCGCCCGCTGCTCTGTCGTGGGGGCAGTTCTGGGAACGAGCGGGGCCTATTGCCCCAGGGCGGGCGCGAGCGGGCCCTTAACACGCCGCTCCGCCTGCACATGGGCAGAGGCACGATGGCTTTCGCGACACCTCCGCCCGCAGGACGGAGCTCCCCCGGTCGCCGCCCGTCTTCGTGACGCCCGCTTTTCTGCGGCGGGACGCTGAGGCTCCCTCCTTGGGGCTGGTGGTCCCAACCCCTCGCTGCACAAGGAGGGAGGGTGACTCCGGGAGCACGGGCTTCGCCGTGAGCTTGCAAACCAAGAGGGCGATGAATACGGGCGCCTCGCTGCAGCGGGCAGACCGGAGGACGCGGGGGGGGGGGGGAGCGCACGGCGCAGCCCTGGGCGCGTTCACTCGAAAGTAAGTATGCGTGAGTTCAGTGGGGCGCGTTCCTAAGTTGCAGTGCGGAGGACTGCAGTGTCATTCCGACTCTGTTCTTTATCTTTCAAATTCTGCCAGGGAAAAATACCTGAAGGTCGCTGGAGTAGTCTGAGATTAAAACACACACACACGAGCTTGGAGAAACCGGGCAAGTCTTCCAGGGAGAATGTTGTGCTCCCTGCTAGAGAGGGACACGCCTTTCCGGATCCGCTTTCAGATCAGAACCTTGAAGTCATCTAGCAGAGTGCCAAGAGCGCTGGTGGGGACCCTCCTTGCCCTAGCCAGGGAGTGAGGCGACAAGGAAGTTTTCAGGACAACTGTTTGTGGCAGAGGAAGTCACAATGATTACAGCATCCCTTCTCTTTCACGTGCTTCCTATTTTACACTAGCAG